CGGTGCTGAACAGCTCTTGGGCTGACAAGCCGTCTACGACATTCGTTGCAGACATGATGATTTGTGGATGGTTAGGTTAACGAAGAGGAATGAGAGAGACGAGAAACAAGCCGGTAACCGCGTCGTGTGCGAACCACGTGCAACGAACGACGTACGTCGGCGAGAAGTGTCGGTGGTGGCGGCGGCCGGGCGGCGTAGTGACGAGCTAGTGAGCAGTGACCAGTCGACGACCGCGCAGCGGTGCGGCGGCGGTGACGGAGCGAATGAACGAGTACAACCTCACAAAGTCACAACATCGCGCCATCGTGTATCGACTATCGAATATTCGAATGTGTTGTACGGCGGCGGCTATTATAATTAATATAATACTATAATAATAATAGTAGTCGGCACTTTGGCCACTTCGGCAGCCGACGAGAATTTAAAACGTGTTATTCGCGCGCACAAGATCATCGCCCATCGGTCGTCGATAAAATATGACCGCTCCGGCGCTCCCACGGATCATCGCAACGGTACAATATGCAGTCTCACACGACACACACAACTTACCGACTACGTTGCCTTAATTGTCCGTAACCCGACGACGAAATTTCGCGGCGCTCTGATAAATTAATTATAATTATATTATGTACAATAATTGTAATCGATAATATAATTATAAATTATAATGAGCAGGGCTCTGATTTTATAGCGTTTTCTAATTGTTATAAGATAGGTACAGATAAAAATAACAGAGAGAACTATCAATTTGGAGGCGCATAATTTTTGGTAAAATTTTCGGAAGGAACATTCAAATATTTTTGAGGAAAATTAATATTAGGAATTAAAAATTGAGGAAAAATATAAATAAAATAAAAATTACGATTAAGTGGATGTCGCTCTGCTATATAGTTGTTTACAAGTGGATTACTATAATAGGCGATATTAAATTTGAATTCAATGATATAGGTAATACCATTGTCCATTGTATATGAAAAACGATTCTGAATGAAGACGGTTTGTCAATTTAGGATATCGTGTACTATATATTAATTATATTGTTTTCTTTTCTTTTCAAAAAAAATGTAGGTACCTATAAAATAAATTCCAAATTAATCAAATCAGATTCGTGATGTACTCGACTCACTTAGTAATTAACAGCATTACCTATCATAATTAGAAGATAAAGTTTACTCTAAAATGTCAAGTACCCCCGAATAATATTTTTAAATTACAGCAATATATCTAAAATTGTTATTCTTGGTTATTTAATATGACGTAATTTCATCCAAATTTGAACTTAAAATAACTAAAAACAAAAACTGTGTATCTACCTATGTTCAGTTTTTAGATTTTTTCGTTACAGAATTAAATACTTGCGTGGAACCTTCTTATAAATTTTTAATTCTTAGCTGTACAATTTAAACGTTATTTAAATTTTTGACTACTAAAGAATTTGTAAATTTTCAATTTAATTAATTTTGTCAACATTTGAAATTTATTAAATGATTATAAAAAATAAACGCGCCTATGTATTTTAATATTTTTTAACTAACATTGTAACAATATTAAGAGCCTTGAATAAAATTTTGAAGCTTTTTAATCAAACGAATAAAATTTTACTGTCATTTATAAAATAATTCAACTAAAAAGTTTGAAAATTTGTCTATAACAACTAAATCAAGGTACATATGTGTTATATCGACTACCTACCTTCAGTGCACCACCGTGTTATCTCGATTACCTAAATATTTTCAAGACTACCTGTTACACATATGCCACTAAAAACATTCAGTGGAAACTTCATGTGTATAAGCTATAAGCCATAGGACACATACGGTTATTTGTTTTAGTCTTTAGAGCTATACCCAGTGGCGTGCAGATCCCTTTTTCCATCATGTGGGGCAAAGTTAATTTTTTTACACCCATCACCCATCCAAAACTAAAAGTTACAAATAATATATTATGTTTTACTAAGGGTATCTGTACAGTTATATGAAACACAATAGGTATTTATTAAAAAAAAAAAAACACCCACCCCATTTGTATCTTGTCTAAACGGACTAAACGCCACTGGTTATACCAATTTCAAAACTCGATTTTCTCAAAAATTGATTTTGCGTAAAAATTCCAGTTTTTCCTTAATATATTTTTTTTCCTTGTGCTTTTGAAACTACTGCGGGAATTTCAAAATTTGACTTCTCCAATGCACCAACTAGATTTACTTTCTAGCCGGAAAAGCTACCTACTAAATAAGTTGAAAATCAAAGCATTATTTCGATAACAGACACTAAAAATGTACATGTCAATCATTGTAAAATCAATACATTCATCGCTCCGCTCAAAATCTAAAATAATACTCAAGAATTAAAAATCAGTAAATTAAATATACAGGAAAATATTACACATAGATTTAGATATTAGGAAAATTTTAGATGTGAAAATAATTGATAAGAATTTAAATATCAGAAAATAAGGGATAATAGGAATAATAGTTTTGTATAGGGGTAGCATATTCCTGAATTTTACTTTCCTGTGTATTATTTTTTAGCATGAACAAATTAAGTACTGATTTTTACATTCCCATAAATTATATTCTCGTTTTTATTTTCGTGACTACCTATCGTGAGTAGTAAATTTGAATTCCTACGAACTATAATTTCCCAAATTTTATTTTATCAAATACTTTTGAAAATTTAAACACAAATAATTAGTTGTCACATATTTTTTTTATTTTTTTTAAATTGTTATAMGTAATATTTTATTTATAATATTTTTCGTTCATAAATGTTGACTGCRATTTCCTATTGCCGATGTTTGGTTCGTTTGTGAATGTGATTATTACAAGATTTTAATATTTCATTAACTGCAATTGTTTACTTAATAATCAAAGAATTTCCATTATATAACAAGGAAGTTTTATTTATTTTTATTTTTCAATGTACATTTGAGAACATGGTACAAATATTAATTTTAATAATACCTAATTGAATGTAACATAGCAATTTTAAATTAGTAATTACAAAATTTAATTATAAATTGATTACATTAGTACCTAATAAATATTATAAATAATGTTAATTACCTAGGCGAAGAACTGACTAGTAAAAAGTAAAATTAATATAGTAGGTAGGTAGGTATTTGAAATACTTCCTGAATGGGTGTATTTGTATCTGTACTTTAATACAATAAATTTCAAAAGTATCTTTTATAAGACTGTCCACACACTACACCACAATACGTATTAGAACTGTAGAAGAAATAAAGAGTATGCTCAACATGAACTGTGTTTTCGTCGGTTTGTTCTATTTAGCGCTAGTTTTTGAGCATACCGCGTAGCATAAGGCACATATACATATAGATAATAAATATTATTTACATAATATGTGGCATAGGCTAATGTATACGTGTGACTTAACCTGAGTATATTCTGCTTGTTGCCTATTTTTTTTTTTTTTTTTTTNTTTTTTTTTTAGGCTTTTTACGAGCCATTTAGACTCTTGGCCGCCAAAACTAATTCCTTCCATTGTTCTCTATTGTATGCCTGTTCCCAGTCTCCTCCAATTTCTTCTAATACTTCCTTGACGCTATCTATCATATATACTATATGCCTATTTAAACTATATAAATAATTGTCCCTTAAGACTTTAAGAGGACGCCGTATATATGTTTCCTCCGTCTTACAAGCACGTAACTTGACAAATTTACGCTCAGCAGATCACGTTTAGATCCGTTAATTTAAATATTAAGTGAATTGACTTCGTATAAAATTTAAAGATAAGAACATTATTTTTATTCGTATGTTTTTTTTTATAATATTTCAGTTTTTAAGTAATTATATTTATGTGTGCTATGAGCATTTTCAATTTAGACTATATTATACTTATAAACATAAAACTTGCAAAAAATTTGAACTGTCGTAAAAAATCCCACATACGAACACAGATTGTTTTCTTACCTTTAAATTTTATGAGAGGTCAATTCACATTAATTTTTAAATTAACACAGCTAAACGTGATCTGCTGATCGTAAATTTGCCATATTAGTCACTTGTAAGACTACGAAGACAACACATGCGTGGGTAATTCGTCGTCCTCTTATAAAATATACCTACGCAGTATTATCATTGGGTATACTTTATATTCATTATACATTTTATACTATGGTCTAAGTGCTACAACAAACTCGTAAAAGTATAGCCTTTATCAGGGGTGGAAAAAACCTTTTTTATAAAATCCTACTGGGTTGGGTTAAAGTGGGCGATTTACCATAAAACCAAAAATATGACGACTTTTCTTAATTTTATAATAATAACTAACCGTTTATATGAAATATTATTCGACTAAAAAATGTTTCAGTAAAATATTTTCCACCAATTCATTTTTGAACATATTATTATTATATTATAGCTTTTAGGGTACTTAGGGAGCTGAATAAACACAGTACTTAACACTTACCTTAGTTACAACAAGTTAAACCATACATAATTGTGTGATTAAAAAAGCCAACACTAAATTGAATATAATGTTAGTAATTTTTCATAAAATTGTGTTAATAATGTTACATAGTTACTAATTCATAATCCATAAAACTATACATATATAACAGAGTTTCTCAATTTCCCGGTAGCCCTATCCACTCATCATTCATAGACTTGTCTTGCTGAACCATAAAAAGGTTTTTACTTGCTATACTGCCACAGGTTTATAGTAATCATTATATAATAATTGGAAAACTATTATTGGCATAGATTATATTAATTGAAGTATAATCACAGATAACACTTCCTTCAATGTTTGTTTTTGATTTTCTGAATTTTTTAGGATTATTTGAGAAAATAACAAACAAATATATAATAATTGAATTGATCTAATTATTCATTGTGCAATGTATCAACAATTTATTTAATAATAATACATTAATAACAATTTATCAAATTATTACAACGCTTAAAACAAGTTATTTATTTTAGAATTAGAAATTAAAATAAATGAGGATGTGTAGCATTATAATCAGAAAAGTTTATATAATAAGATATAAAATAAGGTATATTAAGTAATCCATTTTAAAAATAGCAAGGCAATGAAAAATTTTATCTACGTGGATTTTATATTAGTTTCAATTTCTTGGGTTTTTTAAAATGAAAGTTTTTTCAAAAAATATACTAGTTCAAAGAATGAATGTTATCAGTAATCTTGATAGTTATATATAACTTTATATTAACAAATTAAACACTTATACTATGATATATTTTTGTAAGCTTTTATGATACAGAACTCAAAATATTTTAAGCACTTGAATTAGACAATTTCAACACAATTAATATAGTATTATATAATATAATAATACATTTTTAATGAGTTGTGCCCGCGCAATTTTTTTAATGCTATTATAAATATGACATAAATATACTATACGGAAATATGTTTTCAGAGTTTTCGGAATAATTTTGTTGTTATAAAATTGTATATGAATCTACAACTCATAATCATAATAAATGAGATTAACAAAATAGTATATCACTTAAAAATATTATGATATATATAGAAGTTTGATCACAGTTTCAATTTCGATTAATATTTAAGACAAATGAACAAAAACATAATTCCATGATTAATTGTGATGATATCATCATGAATAACATTTTATGAACATTTAAAAAAAAAATAATTTAATGATGCATTTTTTTAGAAATTTTTTTAAAAGATAATATTTATGTGCATGTTCATTATAACTTTTAATCATTGATACTTGGCCCATGCTGGAGTTTCAACTTTTCTGGCAGTAGGTGCTATAGTTCTTTTAGGATTACTATTTCCTTGAAGAGTAGGAAACATTTCTTCATTTTTAACATCTAAGCTAGTTTTATTTCTTGGTGCGCTTCTATGTCCGCCTAAATAACATATGATTAATTAAAAAATTTTATTACTTAAAGTGAAAAATTAAATTAACAGTTTACCTTGAAAATTGTTACGTTGAGCTGGAGGAACATATGCTTTTTTCTGTACTTCAGCAACTACTGGAGGAGCAGCATCTAAGATAATTTAAATTAAATTATACTACACAATTTCTTCAATTAGTTCAATAGTGTTTAAAGTTAGTCAATAACACTGGAAATTATCTTAAGATATATAGAGATTTGATTAAGAGGACGCCACACTGGCATTATTTTGTTCTCTGTCCTACAGATAAATATGACAAAGTTTAAATTCACAATAATACATTTAACTTTTAATTTCTAAAACTAGAGCAAATTTATCTCTTATATAATTTGAATGTTTTATCATTCAAAACTCTGTTAATCATAATTCTGTTAATATAATATTATTTTTATTAGTTAATAATGTAAAACCATATGTTTATTAGTCATATTTATTAAAAGATAATAAATAACCAGCATTACTGTTTATCTTACCTCACACAATAAGATAAATAATTTATAACAAAGTATAAAATAAGCTGTATACTCGGATACTTAAAAAGTCAATGTATCTTATCTATGTGGATAATGAATTAGATTGCTAACTATGATAGTAAATTAAAGTCCGAAATTTATCAAGTTGCGATCTTTAAAAAGGACATCAACAATAATATTATGTTATATTCTAAAATACTAAATTTTCCATTGATTTAATTTTTTAAAAKGTATTTTAAAAATTTATAGTGCCAATTTCAAACTGTGCTTTTGGTTGTTCTAATAGAGGTGGGCTAGACAAGGTGTAATTTATTTGTAAGTATCAACTTATTTGGTAAGGGGACGAGGTGGTCGAGCGGTCTAACGCATCGGCTGTGGCTCAGCCGTACCGGGGGGTTCGATCCTCGACCATTGGGCAAGATTTTTCTACGGGCAAGTCACGGTGTCTGGAGAACAAGTGCCGCCATCCACCACTCTGAGGCATGGCAGAAACCTACGGGTGCCCCAATAGAAATTCTGCCAAATAGGCCTTCGTGCCTACTCACGGATATAGCGCCATACGAAAAAAACTTGCTTGGTTATATATGTCATAATAATTATGAATAGGTGCTTAAATAATATTTAAATGCATATAAAATATATATGTAATAATATGGCATAGTATTCTATGTTAATTTTAGAGTCTGGATTTTTATGAAAAAATATATTTTTAAGGGGATTGGAAGCGGCGATTTTCTTTCTCTGTCTAACACACGTTATTAGCATAGCAATTTAGACGTTTTCTAGTTCCAACGTACCGATCGATCTATTGATGCGATAAGGAATCTAAAAACAGTTTTGAATTCGTCATCAAGTCTACTTTAGATCGACTTTCCCAATTTTTTGATTTTTTTCCCCAAAATCCAATAAATTGGCTTTGGGCAAATTAGAAACCTAAAWATCATCAAAAGTTAATTTTTCGATATTCTTAGCACGAAATTTSAAAAATGTGGGAAAGTCGATTTGTAGAACATTTTGCGACGAATCCAAATCTGTTTTCAGATTTCTTGTCGCATCAATAGATCGATCGGTACGTTGGAAGTACGATTTTGTGCCGATTTCAAACAGTAGCCAATTAGGTGACATGTGCGTGCGCGTGMGAGTGTTACATCCGCGCGGAGACCGGCACACGCAATTATAACATAATTATGTTGATAAACATAAAACAATAATATAGAACCCGACTATCGCATACATATTTTTTTATCTATATATAATATCTAATTATCGCTCGTGCAAATACGTGCATGTGTAACCGCCCTTATAGACGGTATTGAAACTGATTTCGCGACATAGTATAGGTACGCCCGTTATTTCGTCCATTCGTCAACGTAAACTGAYGACGYAACATGGTGGAACGTCTACACACAACTTTGAACTTACTGACGCTATTTGTAATTTTTAYGAACTYCAGAATTTGTAAGAATAATGTTTATTATTAATAAGTAATCCATATATCTACACAACTAAAGATAATATATGTCAATTACCTGAATTACCTTACCTAAATACGAAAATAGTTCGTATCTTGCAGGTACTTGTTCGTAGTAACCGGAAGATCGTTAGTCAAGTTAGCTTTATTTTACTCGTTATAGCYGATAACTCGTAATAACCATATACTCGTGGTAAACGTGTATTATACAATCATATGCGCTCGTGGCGGGACCTAAACAGTATCTCTAATCATTTGGCTATTTGATTTTTACATCGACTGTTGTACAATTTTTTGCTTTATTTTGCATTATTTTATTTAATACCAAAATAATTTTTAAACATTAAATAATCGGCATGGAAAACTACAAAAAAAAAAATTTCGTGTCTAAATTAAAAAAACATAAAGGCAATACCGCAGCACTACTAAAATGGCGATTGAATTCCAAATCTGATACAGTAAGTTATTTTACTTTTTTAGTCAATACACTTATAAATAATTAAATTATAGCCGTGTTTTATTTCTCATTTTATATGATATAGTTTAAATATACTCATGGGCGTCCACAGGTGTAGCTACCTATTGGTTTTAATATGATGTATGTAAATCACGATTATTTTTATCAAATACAGGGTCAACTCCATATAACCAAAAAAAAATATTGTTATTTTGTGGTTTGGACCCCAAAAGGTAAATTTATCACATAATTTTAATTTTATAAATATTTTTGACATTTATAAGAAATACACCTATATGTGTTACATAGGTATGTGTGTTGATAAAATTGAACGGGATGATTTATTTTGGTTGAACAATATGGAAATGCCTTTGTCAGAATTTTACCTTGGTCATATGGTACCAGAAATAATTTTTCCGCAACTAAATATTAATATAATATAATTATTAAAATGTACAACTTATATTGACGAAAATGACAAACAATTTTAAATCATTGCACTTGCAGTAGGTATTATACTTTTTAGTTTTTGACCATTTATATTCTTTATAGGTATATTTATAGTATTATGTAAATTTCAAGTCATATTTTGCCATATTCATCATGTCAACTTGTATTCTTATATTTTTTAGTAATAGTTATCATTTATTTTATTTTATAATGTTTTTATTACTATCATAAAGAAAATGCTGTGGAMAATCTCCAATAAACAGTTCAATGTAAGATAAATAAAACAATAGAAATAAAAATTATTATCAATTTTACATTTTTTTTGTCAACGAAAACATTTTTAGAGTAAAAAAATAAAAAATTGGCTAGGTACACTCAAAAGTTATTGTTATAAATATTGTTAGGTACGTCAAAATAACTAAAATCTTTTTCGTAACGCGGCATATTTACAGTTTCTCGCTGCTTTAGGTATATCGTTTGTCAATAGTGGTATTAGTACACATCCACGGCCCGCGGCTGTTGAATAATAATATTACGTGAGTATACAAAAATAAATAATGTGATGAGTAATTCACTATATATATATATATAACAGTTATAAGAATAACATCCATACAGCGTGTGTAGATAAGAACACGGTGTGCAGCGATCGTTTACCATAACCACGACAAATACCGACGTTGTATGAGCAATCCCGAACGAATTCACACACACTAATGATAATTTACTACTAACACATACATACATGCGTAACGCGTATAAATGATGAAATTGCCTATACACAACCCCTTAATAAATCGCCGCTTCCAATCCCCTTATCCAGTTTAATGGGAATAAGAAATGTTTGCATTTCATAACTAGTAGGATCTGTCAAAAAAAGTTTTTTTGCATATTAGTGCATATTTATGACTACAGAGATTATTTCAGTTTATGGTACATATTAAAGAAATATTTTTGAGTTTTTAATTTATGGTCACCAATTTGATAATTTCCTATAGTACCTACATTTTTCATCATAAATCAATATGTTTATATACTAAAGTATGCTATAATAAAAAATAAAATGCTACAAGCAAAAAAATGAAGGATTTAAATTAATGGAACATATTGTAAAAGTCTTGTCCAGAAACAACAGTGTGACACTTTCTCAAGGTTTATCTTCTAGTATGGCCACAGACCTGAAAAATGCTCCAATATCATCTGTCGGAGATCATTCAGCATATATAATACGATAATCTTTGAACACTGTACTAACTTTACTCCAGAAAATTTAGAAAATATATTATTGCACATTCCTTGAAAAACATTGTATAATATATATATTTTTTTTTGTTTATATTGTATTGCATATAAGTTATATGATACGACTATGTAAAATAAAAAATAATTATATAAATAATGATAAATTATAAATTCATAATCAATAATCATACCTAACTATTGCATGTTTAATTAAATTAAATAATGAATAATACAGTTTTGAGATATTATTTTTATTTTTTGATTGTTAGTTAGTATTATAAATTTTTTGGGAACATTTAATCAATTTAGCTGCATATAAAAGTTATATTTCAAACGTTTTAACATAATATAAATCTGGACTCTAGATATAGATGTTTAGTCGTCCTTTTTAAAAATGGTAGCTATAAAATCTCTCGATTATCGATAAGAGCAGTTAGCAAGCTAGTATACTATCTTTATCTGTAACCTATAGTTTGTTTAATACTTAAATTTCTGGTTAACTTATAACATTTTTTATTTTGAAAATATAATGTGATAACATGTACCTAATATTGAATGAATTTTTTAAGTTCCTTTAATTATGTAATTAGTTATTTAATTATAATTACTGTTTACAATAATTTTACAATTAATTGGTGTTAATTATTCAATTTTACCAGTTATCATTATAATGTAAGTAGTATTTTATTTTATTTATTATGCTTGTTTCATCTATTTATTCAGTGGTATAGTATATCAGTTAATATCTTATGAAATTAAATAATATTATTCTTAAAAATATCTAATAATATAAAAATGTTGTTCCTACATAGTTTTCAATTAAAGTTTTTCTTGAATTACTCTAAAACTGTATCAACATTATATTAACCAAATAAGTAATAATAATAATTATGAGTACCCAGACATTTGTTTGCATATTTATTCCAGTAATTAAAACCCAAATACGTCTAATATAAAATCAAAAAATAAAATAAATATTTTGGATACAAAGCCTTTGAATTAAATATACCAACATACTAACTTAAAAACTATCATAATGTTTAAAGTACAGTTTACTCTAAATTTATCATACCCCCTCAAAATATAATATTAGAATTCAATGGGTAAAAAATAAAAAGTTACCTTTTGGTGGTGGAGGTAGTTCAGGTTCGTTTACTTTCCAAGGTCCTGCATTTTTCCGTTTTGGCACCATTTCTCCTGCTTCGTTTTCTTCAAATTCTATGTCATCATCTTTTTCGTTGTTTTCCGTTAAGTTAGAAGGACAGTCAGCTGTCAAATGTTGCATTTTAAGTGTTGTATAGTCTTTTATTTCTTCTTGGTATTCATTCCATTCTTCTTCCAACTATCGGAAAAAGTTTTCAAAAAAATATTTTAATGTAAATTCTAATGTGTTTATGCTAAAGTYGAGGCATGGTTAACTTRAATCTTAAGAAAAATAACATAAATTTTTCTTGGATATGTATATTTTTGAGTTGTTTACCCTAAACACAGACATAACAATGCAGCAACATGCAGTACCTAATCTATCTAACATAAATAGGTATGTCACATATGTTCAACTGTTATGCTTTGTAAGGGGCATAGGAAAAGAAGTAGCTGATTCTTAATAATATACCATTTATTAACGATAATAGATAATAATAAAAGTACCTATCATCATATGTTTTTATTTAGTATTATTAATATTGTTAAAATTTCCAAAAATTATGATTGATCATAAGAATTGCATAGTTAACCAATTAAGCTAATTTCTAGGAATTAGAGTAACTACAAATGTATAATAGTCACTGTCGGGGAGTAACTTAAGTTACAAGTTACTGTAATGAAATTACTTTTAGATAGTAATGTTACAAAACTAATAGTTACCTTTTTTTTCTTTTAATATTATCAAAAATTATTGATATGTTTATATCAATATATATTATATATATGTGAATATTATAATATAATATCATTTAAGTATTTAATATTTTTATTTATAAATTAAAAATTCTTGACTGTGATATTTTTCTTATTGCCTATTGGAAATAATAAATGTTATTTTGAAAAAGTAACTTAAGAGTAATTTAGTTACAATTTTGAAAAGGAATGTAATGTAATTTAATTCTAAAAAAAAGTAACTTCCCCAACACTGATAATAGTTATAATAAAATGACCTAACCTACTAGACTAAATTTAATATTTACACGACAATGGTACTTAATCCCAAAAAAGATAGGTATATTACCAAATTATAAATGACTGAAAGGTATTTTAAATAAATAATAGGCAGGTAGGTAGGTAGGTATGCAATAAATATTTTATTATATTGCATAATATGGTTTGAATAGTTAGAGAACATTGAAATTGATTGATACCTTTTTGGAAGAAGTTTTGCTGTCATTATCGGTAGCATAATTATTTTGAATCGTCAGAGATCTTTCGGATCTCTCCTTTTTCTGTTTGTCTTGTTTTTTTTGTAACTCTTCTTGTCCGGTGGCCATATTATCCGAGGAGGTGGCAAATTTTTGGCCTTTAGTTTTCTTACGGTCTTTCTTTGCAAAAAAATTATCCAGATCAGCCATGATTTCTTCTAAGTTCTGAGAAAATTGTATATATAAAAAAAAAAATAATGAACACAAAATAAATAATCTAATAAATAAGAAACGGTATTCGGCAGCCTCTATATACAAGGACAGTTAAAGTGATACGGTCGTCACTATTAAAATATACTATAATAGAGTAACCTGATAACGTCATGAATTCCGTAGACGAATTATTACTAAAATGTATATTGTGAAACTATCATAGATAAAAATAAAAATAAATTTACCAAAAACGTTGGAGGTCGGACTAGGCGGACTGTGGGATAACGGGCTCGGGCACACCGACAACGGGAAAATAAAAATAATAATTACGTGGTCTCGAATGCACGCGTGTACCAGTATAATAATATAATATTATAATAGGTATTATTATTATTAATTGCTATGCGAACGGCGACGGTATTCGAACGGAGACGGTATAATATCTCGCCACTTCGGTTGTTAACGTGGAAACGCGACAAATCACATGTACCACCACTTGCGAACGGCGAAAGGACCTATAGTATGTGTCCGATTGGTTATCATCGTCCGATCCCGTTATCGTGACGATTCCGAAACGGATTCGCCGCACCGCTGGCGTGAACGTAGAAACGATACCGGATCCGGGTGGACAGGCCGTACATAATAATTCATTTTTTGTTCTCCAGACGGCGGCGTTTCTCGGAAACCCGATCGGTCAACACTGGTAGTGGTAGTAGCGGTAGCGGTGATCGTGGTAGCTTTTAGCGGTAGCGGCGGCGAGCGGCGTCTGTAGTTGTAGTTGTAGTTGTTGTGAGTGGTGACTATAATATTACTATATTATTATTATTATTATTATTATTATTATTATTATTATAGTCGTTGTTGGCCGCCCGGATAAACCCGCTCACACGCGCACGATCGGCGAACGATATTTGATATGTGTTCTTTCTATTCACGATAAAACGACTACTTACGCACGAACATTCTGTGTGTGTGTGTGTGTACTCGAAAATTATATTGTATCATATAATAGATAACACGCGTCGAGTTCGCACGACGTCTTGGCAGTGCGTGCGTAACATCAAATCTGCCACCGACCRATTTTTTGGAAAATAATCATTAAATTATATAAATTATTATTATCACTCTTATATAGTGTGAATACTTGTGTGGCAGCGTGTCTATATTTTTACAACTAACCCAAAAGGGGTTTGTCGTAAACTTTTTCGAAAACACTATCCGACTCAACTAGTAACCACTTGTCTTGTTGGTCCGTCGACGATAATAAAATCACAGTGAGTACTCCGCTATACACCGTAATCATGTCGACTAGATTTACCTACCTATCTAAATTTGAAGTATTTTTGGTTTTTATATGAATTGTGTGAGTATTGACAATAACTAATAAGATCAAAAACTCACTTTTAGCAAATTTAACAAATCCAATCGATATTACTCTCATATTACATATATTATCTCAGGACACAAAATTTGCTGATTTTCTTATACCTACCTGGCTTAAATGCTATAAATCCATAATTTAAGCGTCATAGGTTTCTATTAGTCATATACAACACCATGTGATGAATAGGATGTACATAATGTACTGATTTAATTATTGTTCTGGTTGGCTGCATTTTGTATTGTATTGTGTTTTTAATGTTTCAATACAGAAAGGTGCATATATTATTTATTTTTTTATATGACTAATGTACCTATCTAATTATTCAAATAATATACAAGTTGTATTGAATTGGCTGTTATTCTGTAGTAAATCCATCAATATTATTTTTAATTTTTAATTTTTACTATGTATATACATTGTATGATAATGTAAGGTATGCTGGTTATTCATAAGCATAAACTATTTGGTGTACTTAATATAATATTAAATGATGTAATTTAATRCAACATATAATTTACATATAAAACCCCGTATAAAACTCTTATCTTATGCTTGTTATTATTAGATGCTGGAATTATATGCATTTACATGTATTTTGCACAAACATAAGTGTTGAAAATATAAATGTTTCAAATTTGAACTGATTCAAAAGACATTTTATTTTCCTTACTTAATACAATCATACCTATGTTTGGCARGTTTTGACATATTTTGACAAAATATCACATACTGTGCATTTTTATTAAATTCTTAATGAATAATATTGTTTTATATTTATAATGATTTATAATAGGTAATAATATTGTATTGATAAAAGATTACTTGATTATAAATTATTAATTTACAGTCATATGCAGTTATATATTTTTAAGACAGGTGTTTTTTTTCTTAAATTTTTCAGTTTTTATGTTAACAGATTATAATACTGATAAATTGAACATTCTTTATCTAATACTTTATGTACAATCAAATTTTTAATTAAATGTACTTAGATAACATATTATTTTACTGAAAAAATAACTAATTACCAACATAAATACTTGTGATACCTACTTTTATTTCTAATCTGCTTATTTAGCATCTGCTTACCATCTTTATTTCTCTATATTTATAAWTTGTTATTATAACCAAAAAATATATTATTTGATATCTAATTATTTCATCTTTTTTATTTATTTAAATGAATCTTCTATTATGTCGTTCCATAATTGGCCACTTATTACACATATTTGCATCTTATTTTATTTATTTATTGGTCGTTTGTTTATGTTATATAATTCCAGTCTCTATTTTTTATTATAAAATGAAATTAAAATTTACATAATGAATAACATTGTTGTTATTATTAGATGAATGTTTTGATGGTATGACATTGCACTGCAAGTTGCCATCCTACATCCGCTATGGTTATAGTAACTAGAGTAAGTTTAAACAAGTTTTTTCWATTTGTTCTAAATAAATTTACTATTCATTTAAAACTATTTTAGGGAGATTACATTTGGATAGAACCAATTTCTGGAAGAGAGTTTGATGTTGCAATTGGTGCTAGAGTTATTTCAGCTGAAGGAAAACGTATTCAAGTTAAAGATGATGATGGAAGGGTATGTTACAAATATTGTATTTATTAAATTTTAATAAATTAATACTACAGTRTTACTAGTTATAAATATTTGCTTGAAGTATAGAAATACTTACATAATTTATTCATAATTTAAATTCTTATTATATGATTTTATGTTTTGGGGTTAAGCCCTTATGTATTATATTATAATAACCACCAAAAAAAAATTAATTATGTTTTAGTTATAATTTCTGGATATTATTTAGGCAAAACACTGGATCCCCTGAAGTTAGCCGAATCAAAAAAATTCAGTGTTAACCCAATAAAAAAACAGGGGGAGGGGTAAACTACTAGTTAATTTTTCGTTCACTAGACTAGATAATGTATACTTTCATGTACTTTCAAATAATTTTTTAAAATTTGTACATATATTTTCCAATAGTGGTTTAACCCCCCTAAAAAACTAACATTGGTATTCATCCTTTTTGTTAATCTAAGCCTAAACTATTATCYAATACTTTGTCGCCTTACAATAATAGTATATTTAATAATTTAAATTTTACATTTTAGAAGAACGGTATGGGTATTTTTCATTTTCAAAAAAAAAATAAAAAATATATAGTTGTACACAGAAAAATAATGATTACATTTGAGTTGCAAAGGTTATTATTTTTTTAATTATGTTGTCCCATTGTTACGTCGGTGGTGATTACCTGACAGTTTCAATAATACAATTTTAATTGAAAAAATTCATAATTCTATTTTTTTGCCTTTTATCATGGATGTCTTATGTCAGCCCTATGCTAGATCCATGTCACAATTAGACGACATTTCACCTCAGTTGAGAACTACTGTTGGAAATTGTTTTCAAAAAAAAATAAACAACATTATAAAATTATACTATATGTATAGGTGTTATAAATTAAATCATAACCCATAATTGTGTTTCCTATCTACGATAAAAAAAAAAAAAAATTAAAATATAGAAATTCTTATTATAATCATTATATTGTCTTTATTAATTACATCAATATATCACAATATTTAACAGCAAGCCTAAATTTTATAAATTATAAACATGGTTATGCTAGTTAGTAAAATTATTTAAYGAAGTAAATACAATAGTATTGAAGACTAAATAAATAATGTTGCTTTTTGAGACTGTCAAATTCTATATCAGCATTTCTGGTATGAATACCACTGGTAGTACACAGAATGCCTTTTGATGGTACCTAAGAAAATCCTTCTTTGTAAAAAAAATAAAATTGAACATATTAATTATAATGTTATTTGGTTTATTTGATGTTAATAATAACATACCTAATTGACCATGTCTTATTTTCCCTTTATGCATTAAATGCTTAAAATATTATCATAATTTTGTAGTTACTAAAAAATAACAATTCTACATATGTAAAATAACATATACATTTTTTATACAAGCAAACAATTAACGTTATTTGATCATGTGGTACATGAAAATGTTCAAACTGTATATTATCATATGCGGATATAAAAAGTTTAAGAACTGCTGTTMTATAGCATTCTATTAATTAAATATGTTTTCAAAATTAAAATTGGGCTTTTGGTACTTGGTGAATCCTTCTTTCGATTTTGAGATTTTTATAGCCACATTAGTTACAATTTTTGATTGCAAAATATAGTGACAAGTGACTTCGCATATTTATGTTCTGAATTTCCTAGAATTTTAGCAGTAGTSTATCTTTGGTTATTTAAGTGTTCAGGGAACTTTTAAACATTAATCAGTTACCTACCACACATACAGTGTGAAAATATTCACAGTGAATATAAAATATTTCCTAAATATGAAGAAAAATAAAGGTTTGCTTTCAATTGCCTTAATACTGTGGTTCTTATTAATTAAAAATAAATAAAAATTTAAGAAATAATAAATAGGTTTTTCTGTTATTTATTTTAAAATAAACTTTTAAAGATATTTATAATTTCATTTTAATGCACTGAAATTACAATTATTTTTCCATGTAAATGGACTTTTTTTAAAGTTATTGCATTGACTCATTCATTTTATATATGAAATAACATGTATATTGTGGTATGAAATTGATATTATTTTAATCTTTGGTATTATTATAGACATTTGGGTTTGACACTTATTAATACCATTCTCAAAATCTAAATTATTAATAAATCGTTGTATTCAATTTTTTAGCCAATAAAGATTGATTTTATCTATAGAATCGAGGYTTGCATACTTTCACATGATTTTGTTATATTTTAAAGTTATTTTCTGTTGTGTTATTGATCTAAAATCTGTATTATTTTTGAAAAATGCATTTAATTTTAAATATCTTCAAATTGTCCTATAATTACTCCATTCACAAACAATAACTTTTTCACTTCTGCAGATATACCTTGTTGGTTACCGTAGAATTTTAGAAAACTCTGGCTCCCATTATTTTAAGTTTAAATAGTAAATAGATTCATATAGATCTCAACATTTAAATTGAAAAATTAAAATAAAATAATTAAAAACATTTTA